ACAGCCCCAATACTAGAAATGGCGCGCGCTTACGGTCTCCGTCCCTGATTATGGCTCCTGTTGTAACTTGATGCTTTTGGTTTCCTCGCAAAGGTATGTAACCTAAAACTCTTGTTTTCTCAAAAACACACGGAAGATGTGTTAGTATTCTTTTCACAGCTGGAGATAAATGGAAGAAAGTTGAATGTCGGATGAAGAAATGGAAGAGGAACGACTTGCTTTATTTAAAAAGCAAATTTTCTTTTGACCGATAAACAGGAACTAATCTAATTATCAAATTGTCACGGAACCGCGCGTTCTGTTTCCACCTTTGGTGGTAACAATAAAACCACTTAAATTTAAAATACGCAATCATATCGATTAATACAACTGAGGAGCGTTTCAACGCGAGGTATTGAAAGTAAGCAACGCTACTTGACCGAGATTATATCCTTCATCGATGAACGATTCCCCTCAAAGAGTGATAAAATTTATGCTTTCAGTAGGTGCCACGGAGTCTGCAGCAATATTTGAGCAGTTTCCTGGGTTTTTTGTTCAATTTGACAAGTTTTAATGCCACTTACTCAGGAGAGTTTCAGCTGCGGGTATGAACATTTTGGTCTCTTTGATGGAGACAATTAAAGGATGAAATAAACACACTAGTGTAGTTTGGAAACAATGGATGATATTTCTTGAACCAAGTTAGGCGTACTTCTAAAAGACACGCAGTCACAGTAACATCCTTGTATCGTGCTAACGATGCTAGAACCCATGCGTATGACTTATTAGGGTTCTACCACGAGGAAAATCGCTCAACGTTAGTGTGTGATTTTGTATGAGATCTATCTTCCACCTGATATATGTAGAAACTAACGCTTATTAATCTGCGCATGCGTTTAGAGCAAATATTGGTTTTGTTATAAAGAGAAAAGAGAGCAAGGTGCTTTCTGAAACAAATAGATAACTTTTTGAAGTGATCGAAGAAGCAAGATAGGTACATGCACTACCCATTTTACGTAGTGCTCACAAGTACCTACCCCATCCTAACGCCCCTTGCTGCAAGCCTAATAAATTAATTGAAATTAATTAATTAAACAAACATTAAAGCTTACACCATATTTCCGTGGTACCATATCGCCATAGCGCCTAAGCGACGTCAACCCCCAAACCATCCCAATAGTGCACTCTGCACTAAAAAGTGACGTATTTCGGGATATTTAGCAATCTGAACAGTTCATATCTTAGAAAAAGTAATATTTTAATGTTTTAGAGTTCCTCGAGGGATAAATTCACTCTTTTGTAGCCAAACTCAGTGACAGATGTTTCTGTTGGTTTCCGGCCGCCATGTTGGTGCCCATACGGATGGGCACCAGCATGGCGTCTCCATACAAATCTCTTTAAATTTGGGTAAAAAATTTCTCCGCATATCTTGCATAAGAAAAATTGCTGTAACCGGAATCTTGGCGAGTCTCTTTGCATATTTACCTTCTTTCATTTCCCAGATTCTGGACTTAACATATTGAACGGTTTTGATTTTTACTTTGATCTATGTTAAATGGCGTGACACTGAAAACCAGCAATAGCAGCGAGCTAAAAAGAAAAACATTCCGCTTAGCCTAAATACCACTACGGTTAGCGTCAAGAGCATTTGGTTGCCTCAGTAGCACTCTATGAGCTTACGTTAGCGCTAGCCTAAAATGGTTCGCTCTTTAACAGAGGGTAATTCTTGTAATTAAGGGTTGCCCATTCTGACATTTGAGATGGAGGTAGGGGGTGGTACTTTGCATATAGGCAAGATTCGTTTAAGCCCTCTCATATGCACTAGAAATCCTTCTTTTTTTACTTTTTCCGGGACGTTTTGTGTTAAGAAACTTTCGCTTGTCATCATCCTTTAAAAAAAAAAAAAACTACACTTTTCAATGATTTTACAACGCTTATCACGATTGTCTTCGGCAAAAAGTAGTTATAAAAACAATCAATTTTAAGATAAAAACATTTAGAATGTCCGTATCAAGATGGAGAACGATTGTAACTTAAGGGGGAAACTTAAGAGGGTACAATAATTGAAATTCATCGCGTCTCACTACCCCCACCCCTTGAAACGTACACTACACGTACGTAATACTATTTTGAACGAGCTTTTGGCCCACTAAACGATACGTGGGTAAATATATGATTGATTGATTGACTGACTGACTGACTGACTGACTGATTGATTGATTTATTGAGGGATGGATGGATTGAATGAATGAATGAAAGGGTTAAGCTCATGACTAAATTTCCAAACACCCACATCCGATAGTTCAACTACCTAATATGGGCTGACTGTGATTTGTCGCATCGCTCAGTTTTTCTCTTGCTTTATCGATCGCAAATTAATTAAGTTATCCTACGAAGGAATTTGCAAGAGTGCACTGTAGCAATATTGCACTTATTTCTACATAGTAGCTGTAAAAATGTGTGGCGCTTATATGAAAAATACATGTAATAAATACGATTTAAGTATTCCACGAAAATTAAGCGATTAGGTCTAGCCGACGGTTTACTTTTTAGTACAACAACAAACAAACAAAACAATTAATGTTTTTTTTTTTGTAGGATTATGCAGCTGGAAAGTAAACTGAAAGCAAAAACAGTGGAGGTGGAGAAGTAAGTAAATAAATAAATAAATAAATAAATGGCGAGCTAAAATTCTTGTAATTAAGGGTGGACCATTCTGACTTTTGAGATGGGAGTAGGGGGTGGGACTTTGCATACAGGCAAGATTCGTTTTAGCCCTCTCATGCACTAGAAATCCTTCCTTTTTTCTTTCTTTTTCCAGGACGTTTGTACATGTAGGAATGATATTTTTTTCTCCGCGTAACATGCTTTTTTGGGGCGTGCGTAATTTTTTTTTTTT